CCCCCCGCACTGAAAGAAACAGAAGGAGAAGGAGGTTCTTAAAGAGACAGAGGCCAATTTCAAAGTGTTTAGAAGAGGGAGTGATGAGAAGATAAGTTTATTTTCTATTTAAACATAAAAACAGTATTTTAATAACAACTAAAGGTGACATAGATACTTTATTATGGTATAGTATTTAAATATATGCCTGAGAAACACATAACATTGGCCCTTTAAAATATAAAGACACTAAAGGACAACAGAAGAGATGAAGTCTCTTTATCTGATTTGAGACACATCTCCTGGCCCTGCTGACAGTCAGGGTAGAAGGACGTGACAGAGTTTTCCTCCTCACCAGGATGGAGATGATCCCTTTGAACTTCTCCTCCACCAGGTCACAGATGATCTTGTTGTTGAAATACTGGACTGGCTCCCACTGCAAACACACAAACACAGCTTCAGCTCCTGACTGAGTGGACAGCTGCCACGCTGAACAGAAAGGAACAACTTGACAGGGAGGTCAAAAATCAAACACAATGTCAGAAACATGAGAAACAACAAGCTTCTAATAATTAGACAAAGTTTTAGATTCAACAACACCTAAAGTGAAAACCTGAGGAGATCCATCGTTTAGTAAAAAAGAGGTGTTTTAGGTAAGATTTATTGTGAAGCTGGCCTGTTTGTTTCACACTTAAAGGACTGTGATCTTCCACATACTTTTGTTTGTTTTATTCTCAAGTCAGGGCTGTGCTGAAAGTCTGTGGAGAAACCACTTCTGCAGTTTTTATTTCACAAACCTGTTAAACAAAGTGATGTCACATGATTTTACAATATCTTATTACTTTCTATTAAAGCCTGTGTTCACAGAGCTAAATGAAATATGAAGGAACATCATCCTGGAACTGCATATAGATTTGATCAGGGAAGCAGTATGGAAAATAGATTTTTTTTAGTTTCACATAATTTAGATATTTAACAAATTTATCTGAATAAAAGTTGCACCTTTTTCAGTCCAGTCATGAGATCATCTTTTCCTCTGCACAGTTTTGGCGTCTAAATTTTTATACAATTTTTGTGCTATTTCAACAATTCATACATCAAAACGTTCAGCTCATTTATGCCAAGGATGCTGACTTTTGGTATTTCAGCTATTTCACTTTTTCAGCTATTTCACTTTTTCAGCTATTTCACTTTTTCAGCTATTTCACTTTTTCAGCTATTTCACTTTTTCAGCTATTTCACTTTTTGCCATTGAAAATGAATGGAGTTGTTTTCAACATCCTTGAAGTCCTTTGAAATGTTTCTAAATCTTTACAGCATCTTACAACGTTCTTGTAATAATTTTAGCTACCTTTTTGCTAATTTTAGCTTTTTTCTATTATTTCAGCTAAAATTCTGCTTTTTTCTACTTTTTTCTGCTACGTTGTGCTATTTATGCTTCTTACAGATGCTTTGTGCTATTTTCAGCTATTTGCTGCAATTTTTGCTAATGTTCAGCTGTTATCACTGGCGTCACTAGGCCTATTTTAGGGGGGCTGAAGCCCCCTTAAAAT